AAAAAAAAAAAAAAAAAAAACGCCTATCGCCCTTTCTTTTTCTTCTTCCTTATTGTTTCTGCCATACACCACAGACAAACATATTCATTATCTCCAACTTGGTGAACGTGATCGACTGTACTTACTTGAGCTGAAATGTGAAGAAGGTGAATGTGAGCGTCGTCTTGGTGCCCCTCTGCTTCTACTTGAGCTCCTGCTACTACTCCTGCTACTACTACGCCGTGAACTTGAGGCAGAGTAATGCCGACGCCGCCGTGGAGAAGTGGATCGACGTGAAGTACGACGTCTTTCATACTTTCTACCGCGGTAATCTTGACTTACTTCCCGCCTTCGTCTTCTTTGTGGTGGTAACGGTTGAGTTGTTTGAGATTGGGTTTGTTGTGATGGTTGTTTGTATTCTTGTTCCTGTTGAGATCGTTGGGGATGTGATGGGGAATGATGATAGTTGCGATAATTATCTCCTCCTCCTCCTCCTCGTCGTTGTTGTTGTTGTTGTTGTTGTTGTCGCTCATCACTCAAACTACGTGATCTGTGTGTTCGCTCACGGCGATCTGCCTGTAATCTCTGCACATCTACGGGTGGTGGTGGGGCATCATCCAATTTGGCAAACGAGACGTTAATGCGATTGCCATCAATAACAGTTCCGTGGATGTGAACATACACCAACTTTGTGTCTTCTACCGTATCGCCCGTCACCTCCGCTCGTCCACTTGGACACGTAAGCCACAGCACTGGTGTGGGCATGTGCACTTTGCGGATCTTCGCAAATGGTTCAATCAACTCACGGATGTGCGCCTCCGTCATTGTGGTCGGCAAATTAGAAAGCCGAGCCACCACTTCTACGGTCATTGGTAATAAATACAAGTGAAAACCTATATGTATATATATATATACGTATATATGTATATACTTGTATAATGAGTGACTAAGAGAGAAAACCAGAACAAAGAAATACTTTGTTATATATGTATTGGGAGAAAGAGAGAGAAAAAAAAAAAAACAAGATGCCATAAGAGCATCAAGAATAAAAAAAACGAAAAGAATCCTTTACAAAAAAAAAAAAAAAAAAAAAAAAACGCACTTTTCACTGATTTCTTTCTTCGGTATTCTGGCTTTACTTCTTCATTTTCGCCATCATCATCATCATCATAACTAATATCATTGGTAAAGCATCGGTAATAAGTCTTCTTTTTCTTTCTCTTCCCCACATACTCCACCTTGATCGTAAATCATTTCTTTTTCTTTTTTTTTTTTTCTTTTTTTCCTTTTGTTTCTTTACTGAAAACACTCCTCTGTCTTCTTCAGCAATTCTTGATAAGCCTCAGTGGCACGTATTTGCGGCAGCAGCACGAGAAGTCCACCCACACAATGTCCCTGCGAGCGAGCCCCAATTAATGTTAACATACAACACTCTCCATCTAGTATCTGCACAACGGTGTTATCATGATATTGTAAACTAATGTATTCAGGGGAACCTAATTGTAGTTGCTCAAAATTCTGAAAACAGCGAGCACCGCTGATCACAACATTACTAACAATGAAATCATCATCGTTATTGTACACATCTTCATTCGTTGCGACTTCACTATCTTCAGGCATTTGTGAATCGCCAGTGCACGCCACTATTGAATTACCATGACGATCAGAGACCACAACTTGCGTGAGAAGCCGCATGTGGATCAGCTGATTAAAGTACTGCTCAATAGCAGTAGCTGGAGCCTCCATCATTGAGCTTTCAATAAATAATACAAAGAGAAATAAATAAAGAAATAAATAAAAGGATAATCTTTGAAATGGAAAACACATACAGACACACACACACACAGAGAAAAATAATAATAATAATAATAATAATAATAATAATAAATATTCATTGATTATTTCATCCATAATAGAGATAAAGCAAAAAAAAAGAAAAAAAAAGGAAATTAAAAGAATATTTCCTCATCCAACGTTTCGTTAACACGCACCTCCGCTACTTTATGTTCAACATCTGTAGCTCTTTCTTCCTCACATTCTGTTCTTGTTGTGACAATAGGTTTATGTTCAACCACTTTAGGTGGATTCTTCTTAAGATAATAGTTCAATAATGTATGTTGTGCGGCCTCATTCATCGCTTCCATTAGGGACTCTCCCTTTCCTTGACCAATACAACGTTTTCCTGCATATAAACGACAAACAGTATACTCCACTTGTCTATATTGCTGAGCTGTATAAAGAGTAGCGTATGGATTGGTCTCATGTACTTCCGTTACTCTTCGAATAACTTGATCCACATCAATAGGGGCATTTGATAAAGTGGATGGTACATTTGGGTCATAACGAAGAATAATTTGAGTTTCTTTCAATGCATTTTGTGGTTGAATACAATGAAGAATAACTGGTGGGGCCATTTTGTGATGTCGAGTAACACGATAATCATCAAAAATATCATCCCGTAGACTTTGAGTGGCGTGAGCTCCACCACTGGATGCAAATTGATCTTTACGAGCATCTGACCGTATATTCATTGGATGTATTTGTTCATTTATCATTTCCAACTCATCTTCTGTCATTTGTCGTATTTTCTGAAGTTCTGTAGATATAAGTTGAGCTAATGCCTCTTGTTCTTTACGTAATTCTGATTTCATACTCCTTTCATTCTTCTCGGTATGATAAGAGTTGTGTAAAATACGTTCTACTTGTTGTTGGGCATTATCTAATATTTGATTAGCATGAAGAAATGATCCTAATTGACTACAAAATAATTTTTTTATTAATGGCTCTAACTTCACATCATCTCCAGAGTTTTCTGCTAATTCTATAAACGCTATAAATGCAAAGATAGAATCTCTTATCCATTCCATACGAGGAAGAATATCTTCTTGATGAACAGGAAATAATTTTAATCGCATAGCCGCTGAACGAAGTACACCTTTCCAATACCAACGCCGTTGTTGAGCCACACCCTTTTCAATACGTTGTAAATGAATAGCGGCTTTACGTTTAGCAATATGAAATCGCTCCGTGAGAACATTTAACTCACGCCACATACTAATTTCTCCATTTACATTACACATATCAGCAAACCCTAAACGAAGTGCCACTCTACCACAAGAGTAAAGACCACAAGATTCATGAATAAGGGCTTGTAAATGTTTGGATCGAAGTCTAGGAAATGCTGCATAGGCCATATTGGCAATTGTACGTTCAACAATGGCTTTACCACGCATCGCAAGAACACCATGAACAGGTGAATCCAATGGAGTATTATCTAACATACGCCAAACAGCATCCACTTCACGAAGTGCCATTTCACGTTGACTATTATCTTTTATTTTATCATCTAAAGAAATCATAAGATTATCTCTTTCAGGTGCAAGTCCTAATGCGTAAAATGGTGAGGTATGTCTCTCACTATCATTCTCATTAACCCTAGACTCTGAAGATTTATCAGATGATTGTAATAATGGTGAGGATAATAATTCCTCTAAATGTCGAAGATGCTTTGGTGTTAAGGATGCTGATTCTGAAAATAACTTTTCTTTTTCACAAACATCCAACATGAGACGAAAAGCATCACCTACACTACGTTCTGCAGGTACAGTTGCCAGTGTGACGGCACCGCGCCGCTCTGCTGCTCGCCGTAGTCGTCGTTGGGCCTTATATTTCTCCCACAGTGGATTATTCGAACGGGCATTACTGTGCACATCGCTGGGATTAACTGGCATCACTAATCGTCGTGGACGAAAACGTGGACGATACGGTGAAGGACCATCCTTGTTACTATTGTTGTTGATGTTACTATTTTTATTAGTATGATTATGGATATTGTCTGTAATGCCTGCTTTGGCGAAAAGAAATGTCACACGTCTTCGCATTACCCTATATATATATATATATATAGATGTTCAAAACAGAGAAATAAGTAATAAAAATGCAAAGAAGAAAAAGAAGAAGAATGGAAAAAAGAAAAAAATAAATAAATAAATCATAAGAATAATACTAATAATAATAATAAAAACTTTCCCTTATCCATAATTGAAAATTAAAAATAAAAGGGCAGAGAATGATTCTGTGATATGATAATATCATATAGCAAGAAGTAAATAAAAGCGAAAAGAAATGAAAATAAGAATAGAAAACGTAATAACAAGAATTTAAAAAGAAAGAAAAAAACAAAAATAGAAAAATGAATAAAGACGTTCATCATGAGTAATGAATAATAATTGAAGAAAATCAGCAATAATCATAATCAACTTTACTCAGTAGTCAAAAGAGAGAATAATATTTCAAAAAGGTATTTGCATCATCGTTCCCTTTTTCTTTTTTGTTTTAATTTCATTCTTCTTATTTTTTTTTTTTTTATTATTTAACTTCTCGATCTTCTTTGTTTTTCTTTTTCTCCTTCTTCTTCTCGTCAATAGTATTTTCATCCCATTTTCTCATCCACTTTCGCTCTTCTTCTCATTCTGCCGTGCACGTTCCTGTGCCAAACGACACTGTCGCTCTGCCGCCAATTTTGCCTTTTCCACTTTCGTCCATTCACGTTTCGCCACTGCGAGGGCGGCCCGCCAACTCGCCGTTTCTTTATCAAACTTCAATCGCAATTCATTCGCCTCCTTCTTTTCACTCTCCAACTGTGTAATCCGCGCCTCTCCCTCCATACGCTGTTGGGCCGCAATGCGCTCCACATCATCCACAGAGTGTGAGTTTCCAAATTCACTAAAGCGGGTGTTGTACATATCGATTTGTTGCTGCAGGACGACTGATCCCTCTTGGGCGACTTGTCGTTCTCGCCGCAGAAGAGCCAAACGGGCCTCCAGCAGTTCCGTTTCTTTTGACACTTCACGAAACGTTCGCATGAGTTCCTCTACATGAACCTCACGTTCTTTCCAACTCTGTTGATAAGAGGCATAGGCATCATCAAAACTCTTCTTTTGTTTTGCCACTTCCTCACGTAAATGTTCATTCTCCTCTATAATAGTCTCCGCCTCCTTTTTACGTTCATCACACTTTGAACGAATATCATTCACATTATTTTCTACCTTCTCTTCCACCCCTCGTCGGTGTTGCTCCATCTCTTTTACAGCCTCCTCTGTGAGAGCGGCACGTCTTTTCATCGCTTCTTGAAGGACTTTGCAAACACGCTCGGCTTCTGTTCTAGCCTCTATGATTCGTCGGATCTCTAATTGTAAATCCCCAATGTCTCTCACAACACTCGCAACCTTTTTCTTCGTAGCAGCAATTTCAGATTCTTTCTTTTTAACTATTTGAATTTCTGACTGAAGCATACTTTGTACATGGGATTCACCTTTTTCAGCAAGAAGAGTTTTCACCATGGCCCGTGTCTCTGCCTCAAATTTTTGATCCTCTTGAATTTGCCGCAATGCCTCTACAGCACTGTCTTCTGTTGTTGGTGGATTGGCTGGTGGTACGTTTTCACTGGATTTGATAACTTCTGTGGACTCCGCCACGACTTCATTAGCGTTATTGCAAGATTGATCTACTTCCATGTTTATTTATTTTTTTATTTTTTTTTTTATTTCTCCTTTAAAGCCTAAATACAAAGAAGAAAATGAACGTTTACGAACAGTCTCTTTATATGTATATTTATTTATTTATTTCTACTCTTAATCTCTGTTTTTCCTTGGTTTAATTAAGAATGGAGGGGTAAAAAAGAAGAACAAATAAAAATATTAAACGACAGTAATTACAAATGTTTCTACTTAAACAAATCCACATAATATATCTATATATATTCTTTTTTGTTCCTAACACGATAAAAATGTCCCATCACGTCATGTATGTTTCTCTTTCTTTAACGTTCCATCATGAACATCGCACTAAACCCCCAAGAAAGAAAAAAAAAATATGGAATCATATTATTATTATCATTATTATTATACATTTCACAGTATAACCGAATCATTTGTACCTTTTCCTGACGTAATTGTCCGTTTATAGTACCATACCCCTATCCAACTGATTATCGTCTTAAGTATTAACATTGAACCCACGTAAACTCCCACACCTATTAAGAAATCTAATGAACGAAAATGGGTTACAGAGAACCACGCATCCATATACGTTAAAAAACGACGCAAATATCCTGCCCTTCCTTTACGTAATGCCTCAGAAACAATTTGATAACTTTCCCACTCTAATTGAATAGGTGGTTTACGGTGTCTTAACTCTTGATAACAATTATACACTACACGCCAATCAAAAGGTCTCATATTAAGATAAACTCGCATTAGGGAATTGTAAATCGCTGCAGTTATATAGGTACCACGTCGATCCTGTGAAATATGATCAAATACTTCCACTGCTTTTTCCCATTTAGGTGGATTTTCCATCGCAAGAGAGGCAATATATAATTCATAGTTCTCTGCTATAGGAGACTGACCACGAGAAATCATTTCATCAAATAATTTCTGACACATTTCAGGCATATCCCTTTCAATACACATATGCATAAGTCTCGCATACGTATTGGCAGTTGGGGTCAAACGATTTTTAAGCATACTCTGATATAACTCCATACTTTTCCGTAATTGACCACCATCTAATAATTTAGAAAGAAGAATTTCATTTGTTTTACTGTCTACACGAAGTCCAGCTTTTTCTGCACCACGCACAGCTGCCATCGCCAATGCGTAATCTTTCGGTGCTAACTGTTCCAAATAACGACGTAATTGTATATTACTTACAGTACGTGCAAGAACAGAAGATTGAAATAGTTCTTCCACCTCTTCTACCGTAGTGGCCTTAACAAGTGGTTTTCCAAAAATAACTCTATGCGCATCCACATCACGTCCCCACAAGGCTGATGATGATGATGATGATACCACTACGGGTGAAGAATGGTCATCTACAGTAGATCTTCCAGTTTCCTCTTCACTCTTAGAAACAGAGGAAGAAGAAAGTGAGAAGTAACGAACAGAGAAGAACTGTGTGGGTTTTGGATGTATCCGTGAGGCCACGTCTCGATGCATCTCTGTGATAGAATACCGACGAACAGCATTAAAACATCCCAAAACACAAGGGCGGTAAGAACACACCAACATTCGCATAATTACACCTCAAAGAAAAAAAATAAAAATATACTCAAAAGTACGATAGAGTTTAAAAAAAAAACAATACAAGAAAAAAAAAATAAAACCTATACTGACCCTTACAATTCCTACACCGTCAAGTGTGATAGAGTTCCTTAGCTACAAAAGCAAAAAAAAAAAAAAAAAAAAAAAAAAAAAAAAGAGAACCCATCAAAGAAATAATCAACCAAGAAGCAAACATGCCACGAGAAAGAAGACGGTTATTTCACATTCAATGGAAACAGAAAACAAGTGTCTACAAAAACAAAAAGAAATATATTATTATTTCAATCTGTGTACCCTTATAGTAACAATAATAATAATAATAAATCAATAAATAATACCCTATGTGAGGCCCTATACGCGTGTAAAGACGCCACACAGTTCAGATCGGTATCTTTTTTTTTTTTACTGCAGCACACCAAGGAGGGAGTCTTCATTGTAGAGGAAGAACTCCTCGCCCTCCACCTTCACACTGTTGCCGCCAAACTCGGGCAGCAGCACGGTGTCGTTCACCTTCACGGTGGGCGTCCAGTCCTTTGAGGCCGCGGCGACGGCGACCACCGTGCCCTCGTTGACTTTGCCGGCAATCTGCTCGGGGATCAGCACGCCGGCCTTCGTCTGCTTCGCCGGCATCGTGCGCCGCACCAACACACGCTGGCCGAGCGGCTGCAGCTTCTTCAGCGCGGGAACAGTAGCACGGAACATGGACACTTGAAATGTAAAATGTGGGTTTGTTTGTTAGAACGAAAGTGTATAGTGGCTTGTGTGTTTTAGTGTGATTGTTACCTTGGGTCCCATTACAAGTAAGACAAGTAAGCAAAACAAAGAAAAAAAAAGGAAGAAAAAAAGGAGGGAAAAAGAATAGTACAGTCTATTGAAGCAAGAAGAAAGATTATTTAAATGATAAGAACTAGAGAGAGGTAAAAGAGTCCCTTACAGAAAAAGATTTCACGGTATTAAAACGATAGGCAGAAGGGTGAAAAAAAAAAGCAATACTTGGGTATACCACCCTCTAGAAAAACAATAACAGTACAAAACGTAAACTCTTCCCGTTTACATCATAAGAAGAGCACGAAGAAGAGCAAAAAATGCACCACCATTTAAGTAGAACATTCCATCCTCTTCTTTAATAACGATATGGGTCATAGACTTGTCTAAATCTACTATTCCTCTCTCAATATGGTCATCTTCGTCATTTGGTTGACTCGCTAGAAAAGCACAAATTCGAGCTACTTCCATCTCTGTCCAGTCAAGAAAGCCGTGAGCACGGAGAACGGTAATGAGACGTGAGAGACGTACAAGTCCTACACCTTCTATATCTGCCACATGATGGAGATGCTCAGGAAGGATAGGATTACGGCGCCAAGCTTCGCGAAGTTTACGTCCTGTTGCTCGAGGAGCAGAAAGAAGAGTCCCTTGTTGCATTTCTTTTCGCATAGCATCCAATACTCTAGAGCCAGCACTAAAATAATTGTTCATATCATATAATTCATTCCTGTTTGCAGAAGGTGATTTCTGTTGGGATGTAGAAGGGGAAGCTGCAGCACCAACGTATGAAATAGGGGAAACACTCTCACGTCTTAAGGGTGATGTGAAAGTATTAGTCTTCATTGCTTTATCAGCAGTGTTTGCAGGAGCATCATCTTGCAGTAGAGACCATACCTGATTTAACCGTTCTCGTGAAGCAGCAATTTCACGCTTTAGAGATTTCAGTGATTCAGTCTGCATAAAAGGTTTTTCCTGCATCGTATAATTAGCAGGATATTCTTTTCCTCCAGACTCCACCATGCCAACATCTCTAGCAGGAGTAATCTTCTTACCATCATTATTGTTCACCACTACAGAAGGTGGTATTTCTGCAGATGGGAAAGTCTTTGTAGAGACTCGAGTTGAATTATTTATTTGCCGTTTATCATCATCATTATCATTATCATCTTTATTGGGGCCAATGCGATAACGGTTGTACTGTGCAGCTTGAATCAATGACGTCTTCTCATCTACAGATATTGCATCTACCCCACCATCACCCCAATCTGTTGAAAAGGCAAGCAACATCGGATGATCCTTCATCAGATCCCCACCATAGTCCCAGACGCTGTAATCTACTAATACCACCCCAGACTCATTCTGAGAAGTAGAAGCGGGAATACAAACTTTACTAGTAGGAACTGCACAAACATTAACAGTATCCCTCATATTTCCACTAGTAGAGAGATTATCCTTGTAGAAGTTTATCAGCTGGCATGGACCTTCACTCTGATCGACATAACTTATCGCATCAGCTCTAAAATTCATTACCTTAAAATAAAAAATTATGCACAAATATAATTTTTTATTCGATACATTAAGAAAAGGCAAAAAAAAAACCTGAGAGAAAATCCAAAAAAAGAAAAAGGAAAAACAAACAAAAATATTCAACAAGCAGATCCATCATGAGAAAAATTTATCTCATATGGAAAAAAAAAAAAACGGAACCGCAGTACAGATAGCAACAAATAGTATCAAAACGAAAATAAGTGGTTTAATGTGGCAAGGGCTTCGAGTTCACCACACTCTCAGTGGACGGTTCACTAACGCAAACACACTCATTAGACCTGCAGACACCAAACACCGCTGTGACCATTTATAAACAATAATAATCATAAAATAATAATAATAATATCATTAACAACAACAATAATAATAATAAATCAATAAATAATACCCTATGTGAGGCCCTATACGCGTGTAAAGACGCCACACAGTTCAGATCGGTATCTTTTTTTTTTTTACTGCAGCACACCAAGGAGGGAGTCCTCATTGTAGAGGAAGAACTCCTCGCCCTCCACCTTCACACTGTTGCCGCCAAACTCGGGCAGCAGCACGGTGTCGTTCACCTTCACGGTGGGCGTCCAGTCCTTTGAGGCCGCGGCGACGGCGACCACCGTGCCCTCGTTGACTTTGCCGGCAATCTGCTCGGGGATCAGCACGCCGGCCTTCGTCTGCTTCGCCGGCATCGTGCGCCGCACCAACACACGCTGGCCGAGCGGCTGCAGCTTCCTCAGCGCGGGAACAGTAGCACGGAACATGGACACTTGAAATGTAAAATGTGGGTTTGTTTGTTACAACGAAAGTGTATAGTGGCTTGTGTGTTTTAGTGTGATTGTTACCTTGGGTCCCATCACACAAGTAAGCAAAGAAAGAAAAAAAAGGAAGAAAAAAAGGAGGGAAAAAGAATAGTACAGTCTATTGAAGCAAGAAGAAAGATTATTCAAATGATAAGAACTAGAGAGAGGTAAAAGAGTCCCTTACAGATAACAATAATCAAAAAAAAAAAAAAAACATAATTAAGCAATATTAATATTTATTAAAAAAGGAAAGCGGTCGAGCACAGTTAGCACCAAACAAATAGCTTCCCAACAACTGCAATAAATGGAGTTCCGTTATTATTGGGCAATCCATGTCCAACATAACATAACTCTGCCAATTTACCTTTTCTGTTACCCACTGAAGAAGCAATAACTGTATCCCTTGATTCTTCATCTCGAAAAAACAATGCCACCGATGCACCCACATGAGACATTGGAATTTCTTGAATATAGTCAATGCGTAGACGACGAATAAGCAGATCTCCTATGATCGGTTCAACCCCGTCATCCAGCAAACGAGGAAATATGGTTGTTTCATCTGCACAAGCAGAACGAAAAGTATTGATAATCAACTGTATCATAGCAATTTGATTAACATGTTTATTAAAATCAATATCGGTTTCACGTAGTTTGAATTTTCGAGTATATGATATAGAAAGAGGATCCACACTGGAATGAGAGGGAAGATTATCTACAATACGGCAACAGGAGGCATCTGTAAATAAACCAGGAATATTAAGCATATCTCGCACATTTAATCGTTCAGCCTTTGGGAAAGGAGTCGGTGGATTATGCTTATTCATCGTTTCTCGTAAAAGTTTAGCTCGTCTTTCTGGAATTTGTGATGGTTTTCGTGTAGTTTTAGAAACCGTTACTCCTGTAACTCTAAAGACACCAAGAGGTTCTTTTCTATCTTCTTTTCCTGCTTCATAGTAATAGAGTTTACCATAGATACCATAGCTGCTTGTGCCCACAAAAGATACCCAAAACTGTCCCCAGAAGAACATAGAGGCCGGTGTAATCTCCGCATGAAACTCCGGCACTTCTTTACACAACTCGGCTTCCACACCAGCAAAAAACACCGTTACATCATCTTTGGCAACGGCGTAGCCTTCATCAAAGGCCTCCAGATGAGATTGAGAATTAAAAGGTTTTCCATGATCAAAGCACCAACCATGTTCCATCGCAAAACGCATACTGAAATTCGCCAGACGGTTCACTGTGGAGACGTCTACATTATTGTGCTGAAGTGGTACAAAAGGACTTACAGGGACATGATAAGTGATAGCTGATCCATCCTCACCAAGCTTAAACATAATAAATCACGTCAATATATATATAAAAAAAAAAATCTTTTTTTCTTTTTTTTTCCTCCTCACAAGAAGAATGTATATATAAACTCCTTTCAGGAATGTTCACAAACGTGTACCGTTCTTAAAATATAGAAACACAATACATACTTAAAACAAAAGAAAAAAGGAAAAAAGGAAAAAACAATAATAATCAACCAAGAAGCAAACATGCCACAAGAAAGAAGACGGTTATTTCACACTCAATGGAAACAGAAAACAAGTGTCTACAAAAACAAAAAGAAAACACATCCATTAATAAATATAATAATAATAATATCATTAACAACAATAATAATAATAATAATAATAATAATAATAATAAATCAATAAATAATACCCTATGTGAGGCCCTATACGCGTGTAAAGACGCCACACAGTTCAGATCGGTATCTTTTTTTTTCTTTACTGCAGCACACCAAGGAGGGAGTCCTCATTGTAGAGGAAGAACTCCTCGCCCTCCACCTTCACACTGTTGCCGCCAAACTCGGGCAGCAGCACGGTGTCGTTCACCTTCACGGTGGGCGTCCAGTCCTTTGAGGCCGCGGCGACGGCGACCACCGTGCCCTCGTTGACTTTGCCGGCAATCTGCTCGGGGATCAGCACGCCGGCCTTCGTCTGCTTCGCCGGCATCGTGCGCCGCACCAACACACGCTGGCCGAGCGGCTGCAGCTTCCTCAGCGCGGGAACAGTAGCACGGAACATGGACACTTGAAATGTAAAATGTGGGTTTGTTTGTTAGAACGAAAGTGTATGTTTTTTTTTTTCTTTTTTTTTTGTCACCTTAGTTTTCTTTTAATAGTAATAGTGATTGTTGTGATTGTGTCCATGATGCATACGTGCATATTTAATAAGCAGAAACACAAAGAAAAAATGTGTGAGAGAGAGAGAAAGAGAGAAAAAAGAGAAAAGAGAAAAGAGAAAAGAGAGAAAAGAGATTAAAAGAACAGTCTTCTTTTTCTTTTCCCTTTTAAAGAAGAGGAAAATTACATTATATAGTAAGGTACTTAAATTTATTTCTTCTATTCTTTATTGTATAAAAACGAAATTTATACTTTTATGGGGGAAAAAGAAAGAATTGATATTTATACATTTGTAGTCCTCACCCCATCGCCAAAACGAAATAGTGATGAGAAAAAAAAAAGATAATAATAATAATAATAATAATAATAATAATAATAATAATAATAATAATAATAATAATAATAATAAAACATGTACAATTACAGTTTTCACCATAATTGGTTAGGCTGAAGTTGCTGTGTTACGTTTTACATGGGAACTAATGTCCGGTAGATAGAGAGACTGTGGTAAATAGTCTTTACTCTCATGAAGGAATTTGATAAACTCATACTGAACTTGACGTGTAAAAGCATTCTTTTGCGCTGTTAGTTCTTCTAAATAAATTTTACGATTTTCTTCACTCATAGAAGTTTGTTGTTTCATATCACGTAGTGCACGAGCTTTCATTTTTACCACTTCCTCATTAGTACGCATTCTATCACGTAATTCCCGGTAAAACCGAATAAAACGATCGTAGAATATAAATTGTAATTTTGGTGTTCGAAGATATTTCATAAGATTAAGACCTGAAGAAGAAGATTTTGATGATGATGAAGAAGAAGTTGTATTTTGATTTTCATTACTTTCCTTTTCACTTTCATTTTGTACACGTGCCTCATTATAACGGTATAAAAGATTCAATAAAGATTGTGGCATACCAACAAGACATATATAGTGATGAATTTCCGGTTGACTATTACCAAAATACACAACGGCATCAATATAATGGGTTTGTTCATTTACATAAATAACAAAAAGGTCCTGTTCTGGTAAATGAACGTTTTCTCCTTCTGTTGTGGATAAAGGAATGGGATTAAGTTCCATTTGACTTGTCACAATTGGTTTATTATCCACAATACTGGAATAACACAATCGCAGACATTGACTTGGATCAAAGGCCACACATCGACAACAAAAGAAAGTGTAATCCCCAGGAAGACGAATACGACTCACAAGAGGAGATTTATACACCGGCAATTTCTGTCGTAATGCCTCTACACCGCGAGCATTATATTCATTTGGTGGTAAAGTGCTATGTGTAGATCGTAGATCTGGACCTCGACTTCCATTCTCTTCTAATACTTTCGTGTATAGATTCTGAGCAGCAAGCATTTTATCATCCTTGTCATCCAATTCCTCAAGATTGGGATCAATAAACTCTTCAAAGCCAAGAACTCCAAGCATAACTTCTGCTAAACTCATACCAACATCACGTGCGTTGAAATCATCAAAGCTCGGTGTTGTACCATAACGACGTGTAAACATTGCCACTGGTCCAGCAGCGTATACACGTTTATCGGTTGTACGGTAATTGGCTTCTACAATAACTCGACCATCAAATACAATAGATCGTCTATTAAGTGTAGAAAGTACATGACTATCAATATCCTTGTCTTCACAACATACAATAAGGCTGCAACTTAATTCAACAGAATTTGAAACACCACCACCACCACCACCAACATTATTATTGTTATTATTATTATTATTATTGTTGTTGTTACTGTTATTATTGTTACTGCTGTGATCATCCGTAGGGGATGGTACGGGTGAAATGACCACAGTTGTCAGTGCAGTCCCATCATCATCGTATTCCATGCGAGTAACATGATAACCACGTAATGTATTCGTACCAAGTGAATTCCACATTTTTTCTATACAATCAAAAGCATCCTTATCAAGAAAAGGATTTGTTACCTCAGGACTCACTACAACAATACGTTGTGGTGAAAATCCAAGATTAACAATAGATGTCGCAACGGCAAAAGCATCTATTCCAGATCCATAAACAATAATATTACTTATATTTTGTGGATTACGATCCAATTCATGTAAGTGTTGTCGTAGTCTCTCCACTGCACATTCTCCAGAGAGTGCAAGGGTTCCTAATGCGGAGAATCCACGTGATTGCTGTAATGATGGTTGTTGCATTCGACAAATAGAAGGAGAAACCACATATTGTCTACCTGTAGTGAGAATAACATAATCGTAGGGTTCATACGTGCCATCATCTACACTCACAAACCGCAGCGATGGATCCACATCCACAACAGATCCCTGCACCACACGAATAGGAGTTCCCACCACAAGTCCCATATGTTCTCTTTCCAACATTTCCATTCGATCTTCCGCCCACAAGTGCGGCTGTTGATTGGGGTGGGATGGAATACCATCAGTGGAGATGAGCACAATGTTGGTAAAGCACGCATACGGCACAGAGAGAAGACGGTAAATAAATCCCAATGCGGTAGATCCAGCCCCAACGACAATCACACGTGTATGAATGAGTTTCTTACGATCCCCAAGTAAACGACGGGTGACCAAGAAAAGACAACCAAGTGCCGCTACATCTTTTCCATCAAATACATCATAACTACTCGTATTGGAATTACCATTTGTGATACTCACACGTCTTAATTTCTCCTGCACTCGTCGAGGTGGAGCAGCTGACATTTGGCGTAATAGCGGCACAAATGGAGAGGCATGACTGTCGCCCAACACAAGTGCCACTTCACATCCAGTATATCGTAAAAGTTCACGAACAAAGAATTGAACATGACAACGGTAAACCGCCTTTACATAGAAACTACGAATTAAAATACCAGGCATTTCCGATCGATAAAATTTTCGTCTTCCTTCTTCAGGGGTTAGCGTAATATCGGTTGCACTGTAATCTCGTGGTTTCTCTGTGTAATAATTTACAAAAACATCAAGATCATAATTAGCACGTAGAGAATACATTTCATCCACTGTAGTTCGTCTCACAGATGCCACACCAACAAGATGAACAGTATTTCTATCATTCCCATAACGAGTACGTGAAGTAAGGGCATAGGCCGATGCTTTTAATGTTTCCGGATCTTTTTCTGATATATTCTCTCCATCCACATTACTTACAATAGAGATATCTTCTAATAAAGCTGCGATATGAGGTTGAGAAAAATCACTTAATGGTTCTTCAAGAAAGGAAGAAATACGTTCCACATCTTCTGTTTTACTTACTGTTTCTACCTTTACAGAATCTAAAGTATATCGGCTTGTAATCCATAATCCCTCAGGTGGAGGTATCAAATCTCCTTTCGCATTACGTGGTTGATATTTTCGTAAAGGAACATTTTCAAACTGTCTTAAAAAGGGTGGTTCTTCCATCGCATAGGGAAGTTGAATCATTGCAAATTCCACATAAGGAAAGTGTTGAAAAATAAATGGTATGAATTGCATAGCACATAATGCATAATCAGGATCCATTTGAAAAAAGTAAATTTTTACTATATTTGGTGTATCTGATATATTTACACCTTTTCCACTTCTTTTATTATTCCAAACAGGACGAAATTTACCAAAAGTCTCAGTTGCATATTGTCGTAATACCATTTGTTGATTTTCTATAGTTGCTTCTAAACACATAAGACCAACCGTACGGTGAGTTATAGCATCTTCAGCTATAATAACCTTATGAAAAGGGTCTTGATCTTTTAATATTTCATCTAGATAGAATTCATCTGGTAAAGCTGTAATAAGACCATTACCTTCTAGTAATTCTGGAACAAAATCATCATAATCTTCCATAATACCCAAACGTAGATTTAATTGGGGTAATACATTTGATGATATTATATGTAATGCAGATCCTTTAAATAAACAATTTGTAATAGGAATAGAATCCCTTCCAAAACTCTCCAATTGTGGATAAGAACAATCAGATGGAAAAGCTATTAAAATATGCTTCGTAGATGGAGAATTATTAAGTGCTGTAGCTAATAATTCCTGTAAAACATCTTCCTCTTTATACATAAATAAAAGTAACTTTCTCTCCATTTCAATCTCCGCATCATCATCTGGATTAGGAACTCCCACCTGAAATGCACTGGAAGGTGGGGCAAGAACAGATTTTACCCAAAGTGTATTATAGGTTGAAATTTGAATCTCATCCTTATTATCACTATTACTATTACCACTACTATTACTACTATGGCTATCATTATAACTCTTACGATCACCACATTGTAATGTTTGTTCCCATGAATCCGATGGAATAGAAGAAAATTGCGGTACATCATCTAAACAAATAAATCCTGCTACTTTTCCAGTAATCGTAGATATCGCCGTAATACAAATAACAGATCGTTCAATTAAACAGGCAAATTCAGCTTCCGTTTTCCATGGAAACAGTGTAGTTGGTGGAATACATGGTCTAACACTTCCCAGTCGTGTGAGTCGTGAGATGCCAAGAGCGTCACTTACACGACTGCGCCTTAATGTCATGTGAATATTAGGCGCCTGAGCCATTTTTTCTTTTTTCTTTCTTTGTTCTCTTCAATTACAACCACTTGTTTTCTTTATATATTTCTTTTACTTCTTCTTCTTTAGGTGTTATTAATTCTTCTTCTTGTTCTATTTTTTGATGTTGATTGTTTTGACGGTACTTGCGTAATTGTGGAAGCTCCTTGAAAGTCAGACCCCCACCCCCTCTAGTAATAATAAAATAAAAATAAAAAAACATTAAAGGAGAAGAATAAATCAAAAAATAATAAAAATAAAGAAAAAAAAAAGAGGAAGGAAATAACAAAATAATAAACGAGTCATAATGTAGACGTAAACATTTATTATATCTCTCCTATTCTCCACCCGTGTGTATGTATATATCTTTTCTTTTTTTTTTTCTCAGAAATAACAATATTCAAAGAAGAACCTTGAAGAAACAAGAAAAAAAAAGAGCAGACACACATACGCAGAGAGAGATTTGCGCAAATTACTCTTTTTTTCCTGCAACGACCGTAGCAAAAGGAAGGAAGCAAAAAAAAAAAAAGAGTTTCAAGCAAATAAGCATAATATCAACGCTCTTTCTTTCATATTTATAAATATAAATATATATATATATCCCCTCCGTTCTGGTTTCTTCGTTTTTTTTCTTTCTTTCCTCTTCATCCTTTTCTGTAAGCCTCCCCCTTATCATTTTTTTTCTTTGTTTCCTTTTTTTTCCCCTTCTGAGTGTTTGTTTGCCCCTATGCACGTTTGCTTTGTCAATAATATTCTAATTCCTTCTTCTCGACCGTAAAGATAGAAGCCAAGAAGGAGGGAAAGGGCAAAATAACATGAAAAAAACAAATGACAATCATAAAGACAAATAAGAAAAAAAAAAACAGCGAGAATGAGTGAGTGAGTGAGTGAGTGAGTGATTGAGTGAGAGTCACGAATACATGAGAATGAATCAAGAGAAAAGCCGCACAAAAATCTTTCCTGCCTCTCTCTTTTCTTTCATCCTTTTCTTTTCTCTCTCCCTTTCTCTCTCTCTCTCTCTCTCGTCTATCTTACATACAAGCAGAGAATCTCACTCAAGGCAAACATATATATATATATATATATATATATACCTTTCCATCATTTCTTTGCTAGTATTTTTTCCCACTTGTGAATCCATACATAGAGATATATATTTTTTTCTTTTCTCTTTCAGCAAGGGTGAAAAAAGGATGGGTGTAAAAAAAAAAAATGTCACTATCTTTTTTTTTTTTGTTTTTCTTTACAGTTCCTTTATGGATCTGAGAATATTGGCACGAATGGTCATGGCATCACGTTTCGCAGCACTTACACTACCCTGTAGTATACGCTGAAGACGTGCCAACTCCTTATCAACGAATTCCTCACCTGATTCCAATACTTTTTCATTGATACGATGATATTGTTTAGCGGACTCTCCAGTTAATTCATTTGCTTTTTCCTTAACCTGCTCAAAGAGTTTCTTTTTCTCTTCTTCTGATTTTTTTCCTGAAATCATATCTCGTAAAAGAGCTGAGATATCCAAATAAACACCAAACGATTTGTTAAGTTCGCCAGAAGAGAGACGATCTTTCCCTGTGTTTTCATTAATATAGGTAACAAGAGATTCCAAATCACGTTCCTCATTATAGTACATGGGTTCCTGTTTCTTTCCCTTTGGGAGGAAAACAAGTGTTGGGAAACCATCCACCTTGTAACGATATCGTACAGCTGCATTATCAGAATCATCTGCGTTTAACTTTGCAATCACGAGATCTGGCTCATCCTTAAACACAGTTGCCAAACGTTCATAAATGGGATGTAAATTCTTACAGTGCCCACACCAGGGTGCGTAAAACATCACAAACGCATGTTTAGAAGGATCCATCGCAACCGCATCAAAGTTAGATTGATCCAATTCCCTCGCATAGGAGTGTTCCCGCGGTAAGGCAAGATTAAGACCAGAAACCTTTCCATTCAAAAAGGAAACAAACGACTCTGCACTTCTGCTACCCGAATACGACTCCGGTGTGGTTGATCCCGCCGCGAAGAACAAGAGTGTGGGATATCCCCCGACATTAAATCGCGTGGCGAGATCGCGTTGCTGGGTCGCATCCACCTTCGCCACCACGACGCGTTCCGTCGCCCCTGCGGCCTTCACCGCCTGCCCGAGCCGCGCGTACTCCGGCGCCATGTTCTTGCAGTGGCCGCACCACGGCGCGTAGAACTCGACGAGGGCGGGGGCCGATTTGCCGACGTGCGCCTCGAAGTTGGCGCTGGTGAGATCGAGCACGCCGTCCATCGCGGCGCCGGGGTCCTCAGCGGTGGCCACGGAGGCCAATAAGAAGAATAATAATAATAATAATAATAATAATCGTAGAGGTGTGGGATATGAAGAGAGAGAAGGAGACATTTGGAGGGATGGAGTGGTAAGGGGGTACCGCTTTCTTATCGTTCTTTTTTTTTTTTTTTTTTTTTTTTTTTTTTAGAATCCTGTTCTTTTTTTTTTTATTGTCTTGTTTGTTCGTTCCTATTGTTTATAAATGTTCAGTATAATGGAGAGTATGCTCTTTATATACATATATGTTGGTTGTGGGGAGAGAAAAAGAGAGAAAGAAAAAAAAAAAAAACAATATATACATATAAAATAAGTATCGTTCTTTAATTATCTTATATTATTGTTTAAAACAGTAAACCAAAGAGAACGAATAATAATAAAAATAATGATAACAATAATAATAATAATAGCAATCATCATTATCTTTACCACTATAATGGTGGAAGTTCATACCAGTCATATCATCCCCTTCTTGAATCATATAAAATACAAATATGTTTATTCATTGCTATTGACCATTTGTTGTTTTTGCTTTATTTTTCTTGTTTTACCCGGTCAAACTAAACGATGAATTGGAAACAGATAATAAGAGAGACAAGAAAAAAAAAAAAAAAAAAAAAAAAACACGATGAACAGTAAAAAGTTTTTAGGTTGATAGTCACGATGTTGACACAGAACATAAATCCATATCACTCTATCAGTTGCCTAATGATTTACTTTGGTTTAAACCATCATACGTATATCTGGATTTGCAAATTATCTACAAGGAAAGAAAGGAGCCGAGCCAACCTCTATACTAGCAGTATCAATAACCACAAATAACTTTTCTCTTCTTTCCACCTTTGCCTCCAGAGGTAAATAAAATAGAAACATAAATACATTATTGACTTTCCTTTTTCTTTTTTCTTTTCTTTTCTTTGCGGTGGTATTACTGTCAATTTCCTCCCCGTCAATACTCCAGAACAGGTACAAGAAGCGGATGATCAATAATTTAAACACACAAACAAATAGTATAACCACCAAAAACACCGGGATATTAAAAAAAAAAAAAAAAAAAAAAAAAAAAACGAGGAAACAACCAGAGAATTACAACAAGTAAAAAAAAAAAATACATAGAAAAAGGGAAAAAAAAAACAAGTGGAATTTATTCTCAGTCAAGGAAAAACGGCCCATATTATTATTTCAGAATACTCACCACTTGCAATCCTTATTGCAGGAATACTTCTACAAATATATATATATATATATTTATACAGAGAGAGTCTTTCTCACACCACAGATTTTTTCAAAAAATTGAATATATCATCCGCCTTGTTACTTCCAGTGTACTCCTTTCCAGTCTTTTGATGCGGTGGGACCAAATAGAGTGTTGGATATCCAGCGATCGCAAACCCAGTATTGGCTTTATTCGCCCGAGTGCCATCCATCTTCGCCAACACAACCTTCTCACGCAGTGTGGTATCATTCTGTACACGCATGGAAAGATCTGTATATTCTGGTACAAATCTCTGACAATAATCACACCAGGTGGCATAGAACTCTATCAACACATATGTAGACTGTCCAATCACGCTATAAAAATTGTAAGCATCCAATTCCACCACTCCCTTTATTAAAGCACCTGGACCTTCAGTGGGATAATCAATACTTCCGCCTTGAATGCGCATAGTAATAACAAGTATTCCCAATAGCATCACAATTGCAATAACAATGCCCAGTAAAAGACTGCGGATTTCACGCTTTTGACCGCGAGCATTTACTATTGAAACCATTTTTTCTTCTTTTTCTTTTTTCCCTTTTAACAGCTTATTTATTTTTCTCTTCGTTTTGTCTCCGGACTACTTCTGCGTTATTTATTATATTAATTTGCTTTTATTTTGTTTCCTTTGCGTTTTCTCTTTTCACTATTTGTTCCTTTTATTTTTTTTTTTGTCTTTATTCCTTTATACTTCAAAAATTGGGAACTGTCCTCTTTTGTCGTCGTTTTACGTGGCTAAACAACTCTTTGTCGTGTCAACTCCAATATACAAAGAAAGAAAAAAAAAAAAAAAAAAAAAAACGGCAAAAAGAGAAAAACAAAAGAGAGAGAGAGAGAGAGAGAAAGGAAACAGAGAAAAACAACTTTCTGTTAGATATTAAGAAAAAAAAAATATATTTANCGTTTTACGTGGCTAAACAACTCTTTGTCGTGACAAAAACAAAATAAAAAAAAAAAAGAAAAAAAAAAAAAAAAAAAAACGGCAAAAAGAGAAAAACAAAAGAGAGAGAGAGAGAGAGAGAAAGGAAACAGAGAAAAACAACTTTCTGTTAGATATTAAGAAAAAAAAAATATATTTATCTGAAACTACATATGTTTTAAGGGGTCTATATATATATATATATATATATATATAGATGATCTTGTGTGCATGTGTGAGTCAGTCAAACAGGAAAAGAAAAATAAATAAATAACAGCATGTACCAAATTATACGCTGCTCTTTCTGATCGTCGTTATCACTGTCGTTGTAGTAGTAGTAGTAGTGATTCTCTTTTTTCCATTGTCATTTTCTTGCTGTTTTTTTTTTTTTTTTCCTCACTTCATCCATTCTTCATTTCTTTATCCCTTTTTCTTTCTTTCTTTCTCTCCGTGTGAATGTATGTATATATCCTTCACTTCTTTTTCTCCTTCTTTTTGCTGTTCTCACAATCTCCTATTCACTTGGATTTCTTTTCCTGTTCTCCTGCAGAGGCCGTCACTGCTGGTCGTTTCCTATTATCTTCCACATCCGTTTCTCCAGTGAGTTGTCGACGTAATCGCTGCAATTCCCGTGTAGACTCTTTACGGTCCTCTTCTGGCATTAATTGCGTTAGACCCACCATTGCCATTGATACCATCATCATAATAATCATGGGATTCTTAAAGAAGTCCCACACACTATACTGTTCACGCGGGGTATAGTAAAGATGTACAGAGGCAAAAGGAATAAGTGCAGGTGAAGACTCATCCAAACCCGTTCCCTGAACAGGAGTCATTAACACATCATTTGTGTAGGTGCGAATAACGGGAGTGACCACACCTTGTGAGGTCTTTTGAGTTACATCTACGCGAATATTGGGATACACAAAGTTCGCATATTCCGCATGAAGATAATAGGTACCATAGGGAAGATCATAAATAACAAAGGATCCATCCACTTGTGTGGGTACACGAAAGGAGTGTTGGGCATTACTGAGAACCACTTCTCCTTGTTGGACTCGCCATAGTGGATTCACCGCGTCTGGGTGATTAAAGAAGTTTGGGTGAATTAACAATCGTCCATAGTATGGTACTGTTGAGGTTTCTTCCTCCTGTAATGATTGGGTATTATCACCAGAGACCGTAATCGTAACAGCAGTAAACAGTAAAGCAAAGGCAACAGTGAGTTGAAGGAGAATACCACTACGATACGTCATCGTCACTCTTGTCATTTATATATATATATATATATATATATATATATATATATATAAATGACAGACTAATAAATGGCTTGTTTTTATTTATTATTTCCCTTCTTCTTTTTTTTTCTTTTTTATATCGTTCTTCTTGCTTATTTTACTTTTATTGTTTTCCTTTTTCTTAATGGAAACAAGAAAACAAAAAAAAAGAAATGGAGAGGGGCTGTATAATTCTATAACTCGTTGCGGTTTCTCAACTATTGCAAAGAATAAAGATAAATAACCATAAGAGAAAAAAAGAAAAAAGGAAAAGGGAGAATGAACAAGAAAACAAACAAAAAGAAAATCGCAGTACTGAAAGAACAGAAAAAAAAAAGAAAAACAAACAAAAAAAAAAGAAAAATCCAAGCAAAGAAAATAAGAAAAAAAACTAACATTAGTTGGAATGAAAGAAAGGCAAATATAAAAAAGAGAAAGAAAGAGAGGCAGAATAATAAGCAACAATGCATGAGATAACATATATATATATATATATTGATATCTCTTCTTCCATCCTTCTTTATGTTTTTTTTTTTTGTCTTTCTTCCACACGATTCGCAAAAGCAAAAAAAAAAAAAACTAACAAAAAAAACTATCAAAGGAGTTCTTTTTCTCTCTTTCCTTCTTCTAATTCTTCTTTTTTTTTCGGGTTTATTCCTTTACTCTCCTGTGTATATGTGTGTGTTTGTATTCCAAGTCTACTTGACTACGAACATTATGAGCAAGACGAGTATAACCAACAGCACGACAATACACATAATCTTCTTACTATCACTAGCGGAATCCAACAGTTTCCCCACTTTCTTCATAGCTCCCTCAATATGCATCTGTGCACGAGTCATGCCGCTATCAATATCATCCAACACACGGTCTTGTGTGTGTAACTCATCACTGATGTGCACAGCCGTCTCCTTCACACGCCGTACACCGCCAGCAAGTCGATCCACAGTGACATCATCTTCCTGCATATACCGACGTTGTACATCGTGTTCTTGTTGAAGAAAGTCATTATTCTCCCGCAGTCCAGAGGCGTCGTTGTTGTTTTCAGCTCCTCCCGCCGCTGCCGCTGCCGCACGCCGTTGGCGTTCACGAATAATTTTTACTTTAAGATCGAGTGCCTTCCGTACATCACGCTCCCACGCCCGAGTCTTCTCTGCACGTGCCTGCAGTTCCTCACCGGTGATGGGAAATAACTCTGGATGATTAATAGCGGCATCTAATGCGGCCCGCATGTCTTCTACTTCCTCGTTTGCGGCATCCACGGCATCGCACAACTCATTCTCTGCAATAACGGTGGGCCGTGGGGTTTCACGATAGCGCTGTATTTGCACAAGAAGACTGTTGACAAGTGCCTCCACTTCCTTTTCCATGCGAGGCCATGGATCCTCACCGCGGCGGGTGGTAGAGGAACCACCCCCGTGCATATGGACAGACTGACAGAGAGAAACAAATAAAAGAAAAGAAAAAAGAGAGAAAGATAAGAGAGGAGATTAAAAGATCACTATGAATAGAAAGATGCCTGCAGAGCCTTTTGTGAATACATGAGGGGGGGAGGGTAAAGAAGAAGAAAAAGATGAGAAAATATATAGGAATACTTCAAAACAATAATAATAATCATAATATATATACAGAGAGAGAGAGAGAGAGAGAGAGAAAAAAAAAAAGAAATAAAAGAGATTGGTGAGGCAATTCGCAAATAAAAACAAACAAGGAAGAAATATAATAGACAAAAATCATGTGTTTTTTTTTTTTTGTTTTTTTCTTTTCTTTTATTTCCTCCATCTTTTTTTTTTTTTATTTCATTCTTTTTTTTTTTTGGAGGGTTTAAGAAAGAAAGAAAGAAAGCCAGAAAAGAGAGGATGGCTATAGCAATAAGGAGAAAGAATAACAAAGGCATACACTACAAAGTTCATATACCCTTTGCCTCTTTATCCAAAGTAATTTTTTCTTGTTTTTTTTTTTTTTTTCTCTTCTTTATTCATTGTTTTTTTTATAGTAGTAGTAGTATTAATAATAATAATATGTGATATTCACCCATACATACACCCAATTCCTTGCGCTAACGAAATAACAACTCCCGTCCTGTGAATTCCCAACATTCCTGTTTTCCCAACTCCGCCTCATTCCCAGGTCCAATATGCCCATTCCCAACAAAACGAAAAAACTGCGGTTGGTGTTGTCGTTCTTCTTCCGCCATTTGACGCCGTTCTGCGCGTTGGGCCTCTTCCACGAGGAACTTCGCACGGGCTGCGGCCTCGACATCTCCACGGCGAATTGCCATCGTGACATCTTTCCACACCGCCCGACTTTGTTTGGGGTGTCCACCATCCACCGGACAGGCGTGCGGGCGACGGCAACACATCCCGCGAGTTCTCTGAAAAATATCCGCATCAAAGAGTGGAACTCTCGCCGTTGTTGTTGGTATTATTATTTTTTCACGTACATTGTCCCTCTCTCTTCCGGGGATGGTGTTGGTTGGGTGTGTGGGGTACACCGCCCCGTGCCAGACCCCTGCGTACTCCTCCGCCGCAGACATCCCATCCTCTGTGGTGATGGTGGCCACCACTTCATCATATTTCCCGCCGAAGAATCCTTTACGGAGAAACTTTAACGTCGCATTAGTGGAGGAATGACAATCTTTTAATTGTGAGGTTCCGCCAAGTTCAAGGCGTGGGGTGCCGGCAACAACGCCAGAGGCGTAGACATTTGGTAAAGAACAATTATAGGAATATCCAGTTTGGGGAAAACTAACATGTATAGAAGAACAACTAATACTCGCTGCACAATTGATGGAAACTAATTTGCTTTGTGGGATAAATACCCCTTTTACGATAATAATGCCTGGAACTTCAGCGTAAAAAACACTCACAGGTGGACGATGACAAACCTGTTCCGCAATAAAACGCATACATCCCAACGAACTCTTCACATATTGTACAGAAGGATTATTATTATTATTATTACTATTATTTTTATCCTTTGCTATGGTTGTGCATTCAGAGGAATACTCACTTGGTATAATATTTTCAGGCATAGGCGCAGGACATTTACAAAGAAATACTTCACCTAGAATAGGATTATATGGTTTCTTAGAGATTCCTTTGGGTCGCCAGTGATATGCAGCGAGAAACCAACGCAACATTACTCGCATGCGATCTACAGGATGGATAACATTTTCATTACACACGGCAAGAGGTAAGAGTAAATCCCAAGAGACAAACATATCCGAAAGTAATTCTAAAAGAGAACGACTTTCTAAAATATGTACTGGTAGTGTAACAGAACTAAGAGAACGTCCAACTCTTAAAGATTTCAGTACCTGAATAATAATAGCACCTTCAAGACGAAGTGATTTTGCCAACACTTCAAAATGATTATTGCTGTTATCATCCAGTGGATCACATGCAAGACGTTCACATGCAGAGAGGGGAGTTAACATTACTGTGTTATGATCATTCTCATTTCCCTGTGTTCCCATATCATGTATATCATATTTGTTCCTCTTACCTCTCTCATCATCGGAAACATGAAGCATCTCAGTAGTATTAATATTATTATTGTCATTATTATTAATAATAGCAGCAGCAACAGCAGCACTATTACTACTATTACTACTAGTCTCAGCTGCACTCGTTCGCCTTGATATATGTGTGTGTGCTCCAGAGAAAAATCCCATATCATTTCCTGAAGAAGAACAGAGACTTTGAAAATCCGCATCTGTTGGTGTTTGTCCTGATGCTGAAAGATGTGGATCTGATTTACCGAATAGACGATTTAAAAAACCAAAATTCCACCTACTCGTCTCAGATTTAGATTTAAGAATAGAACTCATACTAAACTTTTTATAACCATAACTTTGACTTTGTAAATATTTATTTAATGAGTAATATTCACAACTTGGTTCATCATAATCATCACCACCACCCAATCCTCCTCCTATTGTTGTTGATATTGGAGGAGTTCCTCCTCCTGCTGCTTTTATTGTAGTTTCATACCATTGATTCATATTTATTTTTCCCCCAGTAGCCCCCGCACCGTAACTAATATTAGGAATAATCCCCCGATGTTGTAATTCCTCTGAAATACCAAAGAAAAGTTGTTCAATCGCCACCTGCAATCGACTAATTTCACCCACGCCTATTACTGGATGACGACTGAGTCGCTCAAAACTAACGGGATCCCCCGCAACGACAAGTACATCTTCTGTTAACAACACCGCAAGAGCCGTTACTCGCTCCGCCACCATATATTGAAGGATCAAAACAACAAGAATTATCTCCACTATCATCACCGCAGCTACAATAAAAAGTTTTGAATGACGAATATGAGAAATATTTTCCGGTACAAAGTAGATTACAGACATCAGAACACTCATCATGATAAGAAGAAGAACGGTGGTAATTAACCATAATGGGAAAAAGGCATTTCGTCTTCGTTTGCTCTTGGGTAGAAGTAACATCCTTTTTTTTTTTCCTTTTTTTTTTTTTTATTTGGGTTCAATTCAGATGTGTACAACGCGCACACAAAGTCTAGAAAAAGAACAACTATTGTCTATTAAATATTCCCCCCATACAGTTGAGTATATTTAATATATATATATATATATATATATATATATAATATACTAAACCCAAATACACAGAGACAGAGAAACATATATAAACAAAATAACAAGAAGAATAACAAATAATAGCACAAAACAAAACGAAACACCATAAAATAATAATAACAATAAATAAATAAATAAAGGAAGAGAAACAATAAAAAATAAATAAAAAATACAAGAGCAACTAACGGTTCGTCATTATCTGAAATAGACTTCTCTCTTTTCGTTTCGTACAAAAACAAAAAGAGAAATAATAATAATAAGAAAAAAACAAGACAAAAGCCTTTTCAACAGCCATTCACTCTGGGAGGAAACTTGGACGCCAAATCTGTATTCACACAATCCACAAAACAAGACTGAGGAATTGCATCACTCCCATCAAAATCACACAAATCAAATTCACAACGATCAAACAACACACCACTTCTCTTTTCTCTCTTCTTCCCTGCGGTGGCCGGTGAGGATAATGAAGATCCCCGCAGTACAATGTGAGCAAATCTAAATGAACAGCCTTCAAACCGTACATGGCCTGAACAGCGGAGTTCTTTCATCACACAACCATCAAAGGAACAGTTCACAAATACGGAATCGTGAAATACCGCAGCGTAAAAGACACTTCGTGAAAAGTCCACACTTCTCGCAGATACTGAAAGAAAAGAAACTGTAGAAAAGTCGCATTGACTTAAACATTTTTCCTCCATACACAATCCCCGCAGTGTCCCATCGGAAAGAAGTGCCTTCACATCAGTTCCCGATAGTAATAACTCAGAGGCCGCACGGTTGACTAAAGTTGCCGGAGTTGTCAGAAAGGCACAAACGGCACCGGCGAGGGCTGCAGACATTTCATCTGATCGACTAGACTGCAGTACATCACGCATCGCCCGAGATAAGGAGGACTCCTCAACACTAGAAGCAAGAACATTACTACCATTATTATTATTATTATTATTTTCTTTTTCTTTATTATTATTATTACCACCATCTTGTAATTCTGGTGTTTCTCGCTGGGGAATTATTGGATTCATGGCAAGTTCCATGTAATCCTGAGATGAGAGTTGTGTCATCCATGATTCCCCTTCACTATTATTATTATTATTATTATTATTATTACTATTATTAGAATTACTATCTACGGAGTTATTCTCTGGTAGTGACACAGCGAGGGCGTTGGCTTCATCCTGCAGTAATGCCTCTGAGAGTTGTGCGAGTAATTGGGCCTCTTCTTCTGTCATGTGTGTAAAGGATGGTTTATCTTTATCGCCTGTAGACATCGTCTGTACCCAGCGAGTAGAGGAAGATATACTACTATTAGTAGTAATACTATTAGTATTGGTAGTATTAGTAAAGATATTCATAGTGGTAGAAGCCAGAGAAAGCCTCATACGTGGGAAGAGGAGACGTAACCACATGTACTTTTTAGAGAATTCCCAAATGTTGATGTAAAATACTTCTCTTTTTTTTCTTTTCTTTTCTTGTTATTATTATTAATATGCTTCTTGTCTTCTCAAGAACAATGCATACATTCAATAATAATTAATAATAGTAATAATAATAATGGTTAAGAACACCTTAGAATGACTATTATTATTATTATTATTATTATTATTATTTTTATTATTATTATTATTATTAAATCCCTGATGAGATCTATTTGTGTTCCTCACACGTCAACAAGAAAGGGAAAGGATGAGGGGGAATGAGATGTAAAAACAAAAAAAAAAAGGAAGAAAAAAGAAGAGAAAAACATATATATATATATATATATATATATATATATATATATATAATAAATAAAGAAATGATAAAGAAGAGGAAATCCTGAGTATCAACAAAAAGAAAAAAAAAGAGAATAACAATCAACGAACTTACCGCACATATTTGAAAGGATGCCCGGAATAAATAAATAAATAAATAAAATTTTTAACAGGGAAGGGGGTTAAACGCATATTTGAATCACTATACTTGTACTGCAGAGGACATAAGCTGAAATAGCCACGATTCAACATCTACCAGTCTCAATTTCCTCGTACTCTCATTTAAATAATAATAACAGTAATAATAAATAAATAAATAAATAAATAAATAAATAAATAAATAATAATAATAATAATAATACTATATGTGAGAGCTGAACCGGTAAAACTTCTCACAACAGGGATATCACGCATTCCCACAGACGAATACCAACACACAGATATATATATATATATATATATATA